TCAAATCCAACAATACACAAATGTATCATGATAAAATGGGTTTTATCCCAGGAATACAGAGTTGGTATGACAAGGTCAATCAGGGTAATCCACTATATTTACGTAATAAAGGAAAAAACTATATCTCAACTGATGCAAAAAAGGGAAAAAAAGCATTTGGCAAAATTCAAATTCCAAATTCACTGCTAATGATTGTTAACTTATGGTCAATCTAGTTTTATTTTCAACCCCTTCAGCTTCCTTTCCTTCCAGTATGATTGTGTAACAAATCCTTATTGAGCCCCTGCTCTGTGCCAGGCTCTGGGTGGGGGTCCATGCACCGAGCAGCCAACAAGTCCTGTTGCCAGGTGTTCACATTTAGGAGGGGAACAGGTAAATGGTGAATTAATAATTTCACATAATGAGGTTACAATGACAGTAATAAAAACCAGTTATGGCAGAGAGTGACTTGATGGGCAAGGGTGTATGTGTTGGGGGGAGTTCTTCATTCTAGAAGTTAAGAAAGTCCTCTTGAGGGGGTGATATTGGAGCTGATCTTGGAATGATGAGGAAAAGCAGTCATGGGAAGGCTCCTCACTCAAAGCAGAGAATAGCAAAGGCCCCGAGGTAGGTCTGAGCAGGACATGTTGAGTGACAGAGAAGGCTAGCGTAGCAGGGCTCGGGGTGAGGGTGGGCGGGGGAGACAAGGTGAGGTCTGTAGTGGGGCAGTGACTGGCCATGCAGGGACCTGCAGAGCACAGCCAGGCGACTGTGCTCCAGGGGCAATGAGGACCCTGGACACTCTGAGCAAGGATACTCCCTGTCCCCAAAACTAACTTACATTTTAAGATGCCTTGTGAAGAATGGACTGGGAGAGAGGAAGCAGGCAAGAGAGGATGTAGGAAAAGAATTTGGGGGGCCATGGGGGGGTGCAGGCAAAAGGAGAGAGTGGCCGGGGCATGCAGAGAAGTGAGCAGATCTGCTCCTGGTGGGGAGCTGGCACCCCAGGCAAGGCTGGGGAGAGGAAGCAGCAATGGCACTTGGTGGGGCTGAGACAGAGGAAGACTAGGTGGCAGGGCAGGTTGAGGGGGGAAATCAAGAGTGCTATCTGGGCCGCACTGCATCTGAGAAGACAAGTTACAATGCAAGCAGAGATGCTCAAGAAGCATCTGGATATAGGAGTGTGGTGCTCAGAGGTGAGAGAAGAACTGGAGGAAAGCTTCCTCGGGGTCAGGGGAAGTGGGTGTGCAGTGCACACAGTACACCCATCCTTTTTTTTTTTTGCTGTACTGGTTACTGAAGCAGGTAAAGAATCCAGAAACAGATGCAGCAATGTTGAAAGGTTTATATGTGATAAACTGGCATTTCACCTATGCTGTGGATTTGTGAGGACTGTATGAGTTACCAGTCAGATGCTTAAAAAGTACCTGCCACATATTTAATGTTCCTTACACTTTTTTAGACTTCAGTTCCAACAGCGAAAGAGTAATTTACCTACTAAGAGATATCCACATAACTTGCTAACCATCTAGAAAAATGGGTCAGGTCTCAACCCTATACTTAAGTAAAAATATATTTCATATTGCTTAAAGATGTGCATGGAAGAAATTAAACTAGAAAAGTATGAGAAAAACATTTGGTTGAATAGCTAGTTGTCGAGTCTTGGCATGAACAAAGGTTTTTATTTTATTGTTTAATTTTTTTTAAGGCTTCACAAATTTGCATGCCATTCTGGCACAGGGGCCATGCTAATCTGCTCTGTATCCTTCCAATTTTAGTATATGTGCTGCCAAAGCAAGTGCTACGTGAGGCTTTTTTAATGCTACACAGGAGGGTCCCCTGGGTGGCTCAGTTGGTTAAGTTTCTCCCTTCAACTCAAGTAATGTTCCCAGGGTCCTGGGATGGAGTCCCACACTGGACTTCCCACTCAGTGGGGAGTCTGCTTCTCCCTCTCCCTCTGCCCCTACCACTGCTTGTGCTCTCTTTCTCTCTCGCTGTCAAATAAATAAATACAATCTTTAAAGCTATACAGGAAACCCAGACCCAATAATGAAAAACGTTCAACAACATACAAAATCCTATATGGCAAAAATCCTATAAACCATGCCAAAGATAAGAGGTAAGAAAGTATTGCATTATATATGACAAGCAGAGAATGAATTTCCCCCCAGACACAAAGATCTCCTAGAAACTGATAAACCCAACAGAAGATTTCTCTTCACAGGAGAAAATGCAAAGCATCAAAGAACATGTGAAAAGAGACTTTATCTCACTAGTATTTAGGTGAACCAATGGCCAACACATCTTTTTTTTTTTTTTTAAGATTTTACTTATTTGACAGACAGAGATCACAAGTAGGCAGAGAGGGAAGCAGTGGGTGGGGGTAAGCAGGCTGTCCGCTGAGCAGAGAGCCGGATGCGGAGCTTGATCCCAGAACCCTGAGACCATGACCTGAGCAGAAGGCAGAGGCTTTAACCCACTGAGCCACCCACGTGCCCCAGCCATCAGATCTTCTTACCCAACTTCCTCAGATATTAATGCTGGGAGTGCATATTGCTACAACCTATTTTGGATGATCTGGCAAATAAAAATGTGCACATCATTCCAGTCTATAATTTCTCTTTCAGAAATTCAGACAAAAGAAATAAAAAGCATCAGTATATACAAGATTTTTGCTGTTGTAAAAATATATGTACTGAGCTGGAAAGATGTGTATAGTCTATGGTTAAGGAAAAAGGCAAGTTATATAGTAAGGGACTAACTTTCTATTTTTGGTTTAGCTTTTTTGTGTGTGTGTGTGTGTCTGTGTGTGGGGGTGGTGAGAAGGGATTTTTACACATTCAGCCATTTACTTACAGGTGGACATAGGAAAAGATACCCAACTGCTAAATGTCTGTCAGAAGAGGAGGATGGAAAGGTAGGAAGAGCAGATGAAGCAACTTTTCTTTTGAAACATTAAAATACATCTATACAGATGTAAATGTATTTTTCTCTTTACAACCTTCTGTATAATTTTGACATACACAGGCCAGGTCTGAGGCCCCAGAGGCTGAGGATACCTCTTGGCTAAGATGATCCTTGGCTTTGTGCAGAAGAGCCATCACGAAGTAGGAAGTGAAAGCAGAGTTTATTGAACAGTGTAAGTGAGAGTACAGCAGACAGAGAGTCTGGTACACTCCAAAAGGAAAGGAGAATGACTCTCTTCCTCATTTTGAGTTAGGGGTTCATACTGGAAAGGGTCCAGGGAACATGTTACTTCAGAAATCCAGGGTAAGGTTGAATTCAAAGGTGAGTGACAGGTGAATAATAGGTGTTATTTCATAAATCGTCGAAGGTGGAGGTACTGATGCCAGACTCTGGGTGAGGTTTACTCAAACCTAATGTCCTGGAACATGTTTGAAATTCCGTTCTTTTTAGATGTTATCAGATATCTGGGCACCTAGGACAAAACTCAAAGAATGATTAACTTTCTTGCCTCCCCCTTGGAGTGGGAACATAGCTTCTTTGGTTTGGGGCCTTGCAGAAAAACAGCAGAGATGAAGCCTTTCTAAAAATGGAATCCTTCAGTTTCCCTATCTAGATTTGAGTCCTTTCAGATATTGAAAATGAAGGATAAATAAGGGTCTAGTCTCTAGAATTTATTTTTTGAAACTCTAACAACAACAAAAGGCAAACAACTCAATTTTAAAATGAGCAAAGGACTTCAGTAGACATTTTTCTAAAGAAAATATACAAGTTGTCAACAAACTCATGAAAGAATGCTCAACGTCATTATTCACTAGGAAATGCAAATCAGAACCACAGTGAGAAGCCACTTCACACTCACTAGGATGGCTAGAATAAAAAATAAACTAAAATAATAATAAGTAAACAAAGGTGGAAAACGAGGGTTGGGAAAGATGCGGAGAAACTGGAATCCTTTTTTTTTTTTAGATTTTATTTGTTTATTTGACAGAGATTTCAAGTAGGCAGAGAGGCAGGCAGAGAGAGAGGAGGAAGCAGGCTCCCTGCTGAGCAGACAGCCCGACCTGGGGCTCGATCCCAGGATCCCTGAGATCATGCATGACCCGAGCCGAAGGCAGGGGCCCAACCCACTGAGCCACCCTGGCGCCCTGTAATCCTTGTTAAACATAGAATTACCATATGACCCAGCACTTTCACTCCTAGGTGTTTATCCAAAAAAAAAAAAAAAAACAAACAAACAAACAAACAAAAAAAAACCCAAAACAAAAAACCATGTTCCTAGCAGCAGCAATATTGACAACAGCCGAAAGGCAGAAGGAACCCAAATGTCCATCACGAATGAATGGATAAACAATACTCGGCGTGCATACAATGTAATAATATTCAGTCATGTCACCTACGAGGTGGAAGAACCTCAAAAACATTTTACTAAGTGGAGGAGGCCAGACACAAAAGATCACACCTATGATTCCATTTACAAGAAATGTCCAGAATGAGCCCGAAGAATCAGAAAGCCGACGAGTGGTCGCCAGGGGCTGGGAGTGGGAAGGGGAGAATGGGTAGCAACTCCTAAATGGGGATGGGGTTTCCTGCTGGACGATAGAAATGTCTCCAAACTCGGTAACAGTGGTGTTCCCGCAACACTGAAAACGTTCCAAACTGTTAACTTTCTGATGTGCTCCATTAAGAACGGGGGAGAAGGGAAGCTGGCCGGCTCTTCCCTCCCAGGCCCGCAGCCGCGCGGACAACGGTGGCCTCCTTGCGGGCCGCACACCGCCTGCCCGGCCCAAATCGACACCCCGGATGGAGAATCTAGAAGGCGACGTGGGTTGAGGAAATGACAACAAGGGTACCACAGAAGACGCTATCACCAGCGAGAAAGGCGCGCCGAAAGCTCCCAGCAGACGCCCAACCCGACTGGGTTAACCGGCTCCGCGCAGGCGCACGTCTGCGCCGGATCCGCAGGGGACAACCGGGACCGGACGAAGCCTGGGGCGGAGCCTAGAGGCAGGGCCAAAGGCGAGGAGGGGATTGGCCTGCGGGCGGACGGAACGCGAGGGAAACCGGAACTCCTCAGCAGTGGGAGCGGGTTTCCGGCCGGAGCTTGGATTCCGAGGTCAAAGTCCGGCAGGCTGCGAAGCCGGCTTCCGGAGACTGTCCCGTCTGAGCGGCGTGAGGGGCGGCGGTAGCGATGAGGCAGAAGCACTACCTTGAGGCTGCGGCGTGGCAGCTACACGATAGCTGCCCGGGCCAGGCCCGCTATCTCCTGTAAGAGAAGGGCGGGAGGGGAGGGGAGGAGGGCGGCGGCGGCGGCGGCGGCGGGGTCCCCCCTCCACCCTCACGAGTCTCCTTCTTCTTTCCAGCTGGGCCTACAGTTCGTCACACGGTAGGGAGAACGTCCGACGCTTGTGGGTCAGGCTCTCGGCGCCTCGCCCCGCTCAGTTCCGCGCCCCGCTCAGGAAGACGCAAAAGAGCAATCTCCTCGAACCACTGCCCTCATAAATCCCCCCCGGGGCTGCTGTTCCGCGCAAGCTCCAAATCCCTAGGACCTCTTTTCTAGTTACACTCCCTTCCCTTGGCGACAGTTTTTCATCCACGCTCATGGCTTCCAGATTTGTACCCCAGCCAAGACCTCTCCCCATTCTAGGCTCATATCCAGATGTCTTCTTGACACCTGCTTTGGAATGTGTGTCAGGGCGAAACTCGAGCTTTACCCCCAGCACAGTCGTCCTCCAGTTCTTCCCAGTTCAATAATGCTGATTCCATCCGGCGAGTGAATTCAGCCCCCGATGCCCTGGGGCCATTCGCGGCTCCCTGAGAGCCTTCCTCCCCAAGCCAATGTGCCAGCAAATACGCCTCTTGACTTGGAGTATATGCAGCACCTCGTCTCTTCTCACCAGGCCATGTCCCCGTCTTGGACCGGGTCAGCAGCTGGGCTGTTGCCAGCCGCGCTCCCGCGTTCCTACATCCATTCTCAACTGAGCGCCAGAGTGAGCGCAGGAGGAACCTAAGCTTGATCGTGTTGCTTCTCTGTCACAAACACTCAGATGTCTTGACATCTCAGAGTAAAAGTGGAAAGAAAGTTTTTGTTTTTTTTTTTTTCAAGATTTTATTTATTTGACACAGGGAGAGCCCAAGCAGGGGGAGAGGCCGAGGGAGAGGGAGCAGGCTTCCTACAGAGTAGGGGACGCCCGATATGGGACTCAGTCCCAGGACTCTGGGATCATGACCTGAGCTGAAGGCAGAGGCTTAACCCACTGAGCCACCCAGGCACCCCAAAGTGAAAATTTTTTTTAAAGGACTACAGGGCCCTGTATCAGAAGCCCACATTACCTCTCTGGCCAGCTTTCCCTTTTGCTTACTCAACTGTTAGGCCTCCTTGCTCTTTTATAGCCTTCCAAGTTGTCCCCCATCCTCGGCCTGGAACTCTTACCTCATATATCTGCGTGGATTGCTTTCTTGTTTCCTTCTGCTCTCTACAGGTCACTCTACAAAGCCTACCATGGCTACCTTATTAAAGACCAGGGCAGCTCCATCGCCACTCCCTGTTCATCTCCTTTTTTTTCCCCCCAGCACTACACATTTGGTGTTGCTATATTTACTTTCTCCCTACATGAATTGTCCTTTATTCACTGTTCTGTCTCTTGTACACAGAACTGTGCGTGACACTGGACAGTCACTCAGTAAATATGAATGAATTTAATTTAACATTTGGCAGAACTGAATTACAAGCATGGTCCTTTGTTGTTGTATACTTAGCAGAGTGCTCACTAACAAATATTTGTTGAATAAATCTGTGATGTGCCTACCTTCCTTTCCAGCTGCATCATCTCCACACCCTCACCTTTCCCTAATAGTCATGCTTTCTTTTTCACTGTACTTCCACCTGAAAGCCCTTTAACAGTAATGGATGCTATCTCCAAGTACAGATATTTGGAGTCTTTGACCTTTGTCAAGCCATTTCTTTGGAGTATTTCTGGCTGGTCCACATAGAGTTTAATAGTTTCCAGGACATTTTAATCATATTCTGTTAACAGTTGTTACCAGTCTTATTTATGTTTGCTTAGGGCTCCCCCAGAATGTGAGTTAAAGATAGGTGCTCTTTTGCTCTTTATTTATGACTTTCCAGCCTAGCATGGTAAATGGCTGTCTTGATGTGCATAGACAATCTGGAGCAAGTCTGTTCTCCTCTGTTACCTTGTACTGAGAGCTACCTGCAGAAAGCCTGGCCCACAAATCACAAAATTGTGTGTTTAAAAAAGAAAATGAAGGTATAATTTACTGATTTGTGATAAATATGTTTGTAAAATTGGTGAGACAGCCTTTTTTACATAGTAACAAGTAATAAGTAAGGTAGCAAAAAATGGGGACTTAACCTGACTGTTGCTAAAAGGAGTCAATGGATAGAATTACAGTGTTTTGCAAAATAAATTATTGCCAATTTGCCTTTTTTGCAAGTTCTCATATTTTGAGTTTGCTTAAAGAGAATATTTGTTCATATTAAATAGTATATTTTATCACAGAGTATTGGCTGTTTGAGGTAACAAAATATTCTAATTTGCTGAATCATGAGTTTCGTTTGTATAATTTCAGATGCTAACATCACTTTTGAAGGAACATGTCCAAACTGTTTCCAGTTGCTCGTTTTGGATAACTCTCGAGTGCGCCTCAAACCCAAGTCCAAACTGACTCCCAAAATACAAAAACTTCTTAATCTAGAAGCAAGAAATTATACACTTAGTTTTAAAGAAGCAAAGATTGTGAAAAGATACAAAGACTCCAAAAGTGTCTTGGTAAGATTTCAATCCAGTCTGTGTAAATAAACTAGAATTTCCTTTTACTTAAAATGAGGTTGAATAAGGATCAGGCTACATATAACTCAGAGGTTTGTGATAATATACACAGATTGTCAAAATATGCACACAACTTTTTTTCTAGTGATTGATTTTTCATCAAGAGTAAAACTTAGTTTTTAAAAAAAAAATTTTAAGATTTTATTTATTTATTTGACAGAGCGAGATCACAAGTAGGCAGAGGGAGTGGGGGAAGCAGGCTCCCCGCTGAGCAGAGAACCCGATGTGGAGCTCAATCCCAGGACCCTGAGATCATGACCTGAGCTGAAGGCAGAGGCTTTAACCCACTGAGCCACCTAGGTGCCCCTAAAATTTTTGATTGAAATATAGCTGATAACGTTATTGTAAGTCGACACACAGTGATTTGACAATTACATACATTAGGAAATTCCAACCATGTAATTCTGACAATTACATACATGAAATTCTGCCTCTGGATTTAATGAAGTAAAGAGGTGTGAGAATTCATTCAATTGGTCTTATGAATTGATTTAGACCTATATTTGAAGAATATAGAATCAGTAAGGGTTTGCAGGGGTCACTTAGATTTTCAGTGATAATTTGCCATGTTTTATTGAAAAACAACTTAAAAGTTCTGTGGCAAATGTTAAATGTTAACTGCTGTTATGAAGAACATTTTTCCAGAAGTTAACCGGGTATCACAGTCCCCTTTATTCCCCCAAACATGGTTTTACATTGACAAAGTAGAGACTTTGTTATCTTTAAAAAAGTGTTTTAGGGGTACCTGGCTGGCTCAGTAGGTGGAGCATGTGACTCTTGATCTTGGGGTCATGAGTTCAAGTCCCACATTGGGTGTACAGATTACTTAAAATCTTTTAAATAAATAAAAATTAAAATTTTTTTTAATTTACAAGTGTTCAGCCAGTAATTTTTAATTCTAGATTTTCTCATTTTAAATTTGTATCTTGTCTGATTGCTGGATTACAGACTCCCTGAGGGCAGCCTCTCTTACCTGCTTATACCTGGTGTAGTCCCTTAATCCAAGAATTTAATGAACATGTAATTTATTGGGTTAAATTATAAATCAGGCCCAATATTTCTTCTTTTTATGTTAGTTGACTACTTGTAAAACATGCAACAGAACAGTTAAACATCATGGTAAAAGTAGAAGCTTTCTCTCAGCACTGAAGAGCAGTCCTACTACTCCTGCGAGTAAGCTCAGCCTGAAGACACCGGAAAGAAAGACTCCCAGTTCTGCAAACCTAAATCCTAAGTGTGGTTCCAAAGGCAAGAGCCCAGCCTTGATATTCAGGTATCTTAATTCATTAAGCTATTTGCATTGCTGGTGTGAGCTCTTATTTCTTCGACTTTTCCTCTGTTTAATATATACTCCCTAAATCTGCCATGCAGTCCAGGCCTTGGCCCCATTTTTTTCCTCCATACCCTTTTCTTCTCTAATGTCCTGTACATACATCTTTCATTCCCATCTCTGCTTATAAATTCCAGCTATATTCTTTTACTTCCAACCTCTCCCTTTACTTGTTCCCAGCTGCTACTAAATATATCCACTTTATCCCCCCAGCATGTCCCCACCTGCTCATCCTCCTAAGTTCCTTCTGTCAGTGAACATGCCTTTGTAGACAGTCTGACCTGAAATGGTGAGTAGAGTAGACAACGCCTAGTCCCTTGGTCCTTGTCCAGTTAGTCACCAGTTTCTATCTGCCCTTCCTCCATGGGGTTTGCATCTGTTCTCCTTTTTTCCTCCTACTGTGTTCAGTCTGTGTTCCTCTTTTGCTGGGATTACTACAGTAGTTTCCTGCTTCTAGTCTGATAATTTCCCTACAGCACAGCTCTGATGAGAAGCCTTTACCATCTCATGCTGTAGTATCTAGATCAAACATTCCCGCATGGCTTCCCAGTCCTTCCTACCTGGCACCAGTGCGTGTGCCTTCTTACTTTGCCTTAAGTCATCCTGTGTGTTAGCAAAACTGAAGTAAACTCACAGTTTATGTTCCTGCTCTGAACCTTTGTTCTTGATATTGCCTCTGTCAGAAATTCCTGGGGAAATCTCACTGAATAGGGATTTGTCAGCTGCTACTAAGTTAACTATATGACTGGAGCACCAAACTATTTTTGTAGTTCACAGTACTTTATTCACTGTGATAGTAAATTTAGTTCCTTAGAAACTGTGAAAGGAATTTCTGAACATTTTATACCAAAAGAGGAACTGAGTCTGGTAGTTCCTTGAACATAAACAGCAAAATTCTGTAAAGAGTGAAATTTATCTGTTTACTGCATTGAGTTTTTTATATTGGATTGACATTTATAAAATTGGATAAGAATTGAAATTTTAAGTCTAGTTTTCTCTATATTTTGATTTAATTATTTTGATATTTGGCATGATAAGAATTCATAGAAGTTTCTACCTTATTGGATAACTGTAGATAAAAGTTGGCATATTTAAAATATATTAAAATGAAATATTTAAAATAATTCGCTTGCATATAGAACAGACTGCTTCTTAGTTATATGCACGAATGAGAAAGATATTTCACATTTGTTGTACACATGGGGAGTAGAAGAGGGATCAGACTGATAAACCCCAATAAAGTTTCATGGGTATGGAACACAGTTGGAGGCATGAAACAGAAGAAAACAGAAATATACAGCAGCTGGGGAATCACTTATCCAGCAAATATTTTTAGAAGACCTCTTCTGTCCCTGGCACTGTTAAGAAGCAGGAATATATAGTTAGTAGTACAAGTTCTGTCCTATGGAGTTTACGTTCTAGGTGGGGAGATATAATGCAGTGGCACCTGCATGTGTAGGTTGAAATTCTTCATTTTTGAGAAAGGAAGTGGTCTTGAGCTGTGAAGAAACAGGTTTTTAAAGTCCTTAGAATTGTCATGAATCTTGATATCAAACTTAAAGGGGACTCAGGCCTGATGACACTTTACTTTTAGCCTTCTTCAGGTGTGATAGAAACTTCCAGAACCACCCAGTATACCTCCTAAATGTTGCCTAAAGTCTATGTAGTGAGGAGATTTTTAACAAAATGGGAATGAATGCTGGGTTCAGCCACTGATCGTTTACGGCCATAATAGGAGTAGAAAAGGATTCTAGTTGCAATTATTCAGGCTAACCAGGAAAAGCACTTTTAAATTTAGGTATCAGTATACCTAAGTGTGGTTTTATGTTTGTTTTCAGGACACCTACATCTGGACAGTCAACACCCACTTGCTCCTCAAAGAATGTGAGCAAAACAAAGAAACACTTCTCTCAACTAAAAATGTTGCTTAGTCGGAGTGAATCCCAAAAGAATTCGAAAGTGGACTTCAGAAATTTCTTACTGTCTTTGTAAAGGATGGGCTCTGAAAATAAATGTTTAATGCAATTTCTGAAACTAAGGTTAGCCTGAAAAATATTTTTCTTAAAACTTTTATTTTTTCTGGGTTGCCAGGGTGGCCCAGTCGATTAAGCATCTGCCTTCGGCTTGAGTCACGATCCCAAGGTCCTGGGATCAAGCCCCACATTGGACTCCGGGCTGAGCGGGGAGTCTGCTTCTCCCTACCCTTGCTTTCTCTCTCTCTCTCACTTGCTTACTTTCAAAATAATAAAATCTTAAAAAAAAAAAAACAAAAAACTTTTATTTGTTCTTTAAATACATGGCATCTGGGGTCCAAGAATAAACTTTTCTGGGCATTTTTCAGTGGTTATGAAGAAAATACCTCATGAAAACGAATAAATGAAACCTGCCTACCTCACAGGTGGTTGTGAGGATCAAAAAAACATGAAAACCCTTGTAAGTAGCAAATCTATTATGGACATTGAGTGGTTATATTCTCTCTTTTTTTTAAGATTTTTATTTGACACACAGAGAAATAATTTTGCATGCAAAAGTAAATATATGGAGCATTCTTAATTGTAGATCATTCAAATATACCAGATTTCATTTTTTAAAAAAGATTTTATTTATTTGACACAGAGAAATAATTTTTGCATGCAAAAATAAATATGGGGCATTCTTAATTGTAAATCAAATACACCAGATTTCATTTTTTTTTTTTAAAGATTTCATTTATTGGGGCGCCTGGGTGGCTCAGTGGGTTAAAGCCTCTGCCTTCGGCTCAGGTCATGATCCCAGGGTTCTGGGATCAAGCCCCGCATCGGGCTTTCTGCTCAGCGGGGAGTCTGCTTCCCTCCTCTCGGCCTGCCTCTCTGCCTACTTCGATCGATCTCTCTGTTACATAAATAAATAAAATCTTAAAAAGAGAAAAAAGATTTCATTTATATATTTGACAGAGATCACAAGCAGGCAGAGAGGCAGGCAGAGAGAGAGGAAGGGAAGCAGGCTCCCTGCTGAGCAGAGAGCCCGATGTGGGGCTCAATCCCAGGACCCTGGGATCATGACCTGAGCCGAAGGCAGAGGCTTTGAGCCACTGAGGTGCCCCACCAGATTTCATTTTTACAACTTTCTATTGTTCCTACTAATGTTTTATCACAAGTGGCATTTCATTTGCTCTGGTGAAGACTTAATTTCTAGGTCTAAAATTTAGAGCAGAATACAACAGTAACAGTTTAGCTATGTTAAATCTTCTCTGGAACATAGATACACTAAAATGATAGGCTAGGGTTGTATTCAACCTGTCTTCTAAAAATTCCTTAAATAAATAATTTAGATATTTTAATTATTTCCAAGCTCTCTCTGCTGTTTAAAAATTTAAAACTAAACTTCTCCCATTAGGGCTTGGCAAACTCTGAAAGGCCAGGGTTATTACTGAGTTGGTCTTGTAGTTACATGAAGTGAAATTATATTACTAGTGCCAGCATTAGAGAGGGATGGCAAGAGTCATCACTGTGAACTTTAGCCTGTGAGCCATAGGCTGAGGGAGCTGGGCCTTCCCTCTGTGTCCAGGGCATCTGGCACAATACTTTGGTCATGGTACCTTACCTTTCTGGCTAACTTCTCACTGGAGTATCTGTTTTTCTTCTTGCTCTTCTCTCTTCCGCTCTCCCTGATCACCCATAGTGAGCTCTTTATAGTTCTTAGGACATACCATTTTCTTGCCAGTTTGGGCCTTTGCATGGTTTTGCAGAATGCCCTCCACTTCAACCCTACTGTATTATGAGGGGCCACTCTTTTATCAAAGTGTGGGTGGCCCTGTAGCTTCCCGTTTCTGATTGTGTCCCCATTTGCCTGTGAGCTCTTTGCTGGCCTGCATGATGTCATTTGCTGTGGCCCAGAGCACAAGCTCTGCAAATATCCCTAACCACTACATTGACATTTGAATTCTGTAGCCCACTTGTTACATACCAGATTTAGAACCAAGGTCCTTTCAGCCACTTGACTGGGAAATGGATGAGAAGTGGTAAAACCAGGAACCTCTAGATGGGAAGTTAGTCACATTACCTCAGGAGCAAATGAAAAAATACCATGGATTCTTGACTTTCTTTTCTGTTTGAGAGAAGGATTTGGGGCATCTTTAAAGAGAATACTAAAATAATACTGTGGACATAACACTCAGAAGGAAACCTAGAACTACGTCTTCATAACCTCGGATTCAGCAGTGGTTTCTTAGCTATGATACCAAAATCACAAGCAACAAAAGAGAAAATAGATAAACTGGACTTCAAAATTAAAAACTTGTGTGTCTCAAATAAGGACAGCATCAAAAAATGAAGAGATAACCCACTGAATGGGAGAAAATGTTTGCAAATCATGTATCTCTTAAGAGGCCTATATCTAGAATTATAAAAAACTTAAAACTCAATAATAAAAAGACAAAGATTCTGAGCAGACAATTCTCCAAGGAAACAAATGGCCAGCAAGCACATGAAAAGGTGCTCAACATCTTCCATCTAACATTAGTCATTAGGGAAATCCAAATCAAAACAAGGAGCTACCACTTCATACCCACTAGAACAGCTAAAATCACGAGGACAGTAATAAATGTTGATGAGAATGTGGTGAGATTGGAACTCTGATACATTGCTTCTGGGACTGTAAAATTTGTGCAACCGTGTAAGAATTTGTCAGTTCCTCCAGAAGTTAAACATAGTATTAACATATGACCCACAACACCACTCCTAGTTACAGACCCAACAGTACTGCAAACAAAATCTTGTATATGAATATTCATAGCGACATTATTTGTAATAGCCAAAAAGTGGAAACAAGTGAAATGTCAACCTAACTACTGAATAGATACATAAAATATGACATATCCATATAGTGGAATATTCAGTCACAAAAGTGAGTTCCTAGAACATGGATAAACCTTGAAAATATGTTAACTGAAAGAAAGTAGACACAAAAGGTCACATAATGTATGATTCAATTTATAAAGAATGCTCAGAATAGGAAAAATACATAGAAATAGATTAGTGGCTGCCTGAGGCTGGGGGGGGTGAACAGGGAATAACTGCTGAAGAGTATGGAGTTTCTTTAGGGTGACAAAAATGTTCTGGAATTAGCAATGGCCACACAACTCTGAATACTAAAACCCACTAAAGTCTACAATTTAAAAGGGTGACTTTTTGGTATGTGAATTTTATCTCAGTAAAATTCTTAAAAAAATGAAATGAAACATTTCCTAAACAGATTACAGTGTAGATACTTGGGATTAAATGAAAATGACAGTCTCATAAGGAGAAGCAGCAGACATGCATTGTACAGCTCAGGCTCTGTGCAGCTCCAACTCCTGGACGTCCGTCCCATCGCCATAGGACTTGCTCATACGCTGATGTATCTACTGCAGTGCTTCCTGAACAGTTCCACTTAGCTCTGGGCTGTTTGTCCAGCCATGGGATATGGGGCCTGGAACACGTGACCAGGGCACCAGGGATCCTGGAGGCTACAGCAACCCTATGCTAAAGGCAGCCATGATGACAATGAAAAAGAGGCCCTCACCATCCAAAGAGGGATGGGATGGGCAGAACTCTGAGGAAGAAAACCTAATCAGGAATGGGTGGGAAAGGGGCAAGAGAGCATAGATCTAATGATCGCCTCATTAGTGTCGCAAAGAACTTTGGTGTCACATAGTTGATGAAAATCTGTAGGCCACTGTTCTCTCCATTAGCACAGCCCCTTGGACCTCAGCTGCAGAAAGCACAATGGTGACTTTTAATACGACCACTACTCAGATTTTAGAACTCAAGTAATATTCCTAGGTGGTTCACCCCTGAGAGGGATAGTACCAGTGAATTAACTGGGCTCAAAATGCAATCGCATATCTGAGACATCACTCTACTTCAAAGCCGAGTTCTCTCACCTTTCTCACTGGTGCCTGTCTTGCTTCTCTCGTGAGAAAAGCCAGCCTTCCTCCTACCCAATGGGCCAGTCTGCCCATCTAGCCTGGATGCCATCCCTGCTCTGACTCAGGTCAATGGAACAGTCCTGCCTTTTCCTTCACCTTCATCTTCGTCCTCTTCTGGATCCTTCCCCTCCCCACTTTTTCTTCTTTCAGTAAACATTTATTGATGTGTAACACCCACAGAGAAATAAATGTTCAAAGCTCTGACCACAAGCCTGGGGCGGATGCCTCTCCTGGACTTGTAAGGAAGGTTCCCTTTCTGCCTGTGCACAGCTCTTCTCACACAGAGGCCTGGTGAGACTGTGCCTGTCCGAAATCCGGGTGGGGTGGGGGGCGGGAAGGGCTGCAACCCTAAGGTATAATTCACGTAGAAAGTGTTCAATATGCTTCTGTCTCTCCTGGGACTAAACTTACAATTAAATATAAACAGGAATTTTTATGAATGAGAATAAATTTGTATAATAATATAGTTATTTGGAAAGAAAATACCAAAATACTTTTAAAAGACATTATGGACACAATTTTTCCAGAGACTACTTGCTTTAATTAAGTACAATTTTTCTTTTCTTCCTTTCTTTTTTTTAAGATTTATTTGAGAGAGAGAGAGAAAATGCAAGCAGAGACACGGGCACAGGCAGAGGGGGAGCAAGAACCATCAAGCAGACTCCCCACTGAGTGCGGAGCCTGGCATGGCACTCAATCCCAGGACCCTGAGGTCATGACCTGAGCTGAAATCAAGAGTTGGCTGCTTGGGGCGCCTGGGTGGCTCAGTGGGTTAAAGCCTCTGCCTTCGGCTCAGGTCATTCAGCTCAGGTCATGATCTCAGGGTCTTGGGATCGAGTCCCGCATCGGGCTCTCTGCTCAGCGGGGGAGCCTGCTTCCTCCTCTCTCTGCCTACTTGTGATCTCTGTCAAATAAATAAATTTTTTAAAAAGAGTTGGCTGCTTAACCAACTAAGCCACCCAGGTGCCCCATATAATTTTTATTTTCTATTTGGATGATTAAATTATTATATGTTGGCCAGTGAGAGCCCCTTTTAAGCTGGCTTTATTCTTACAACTCCATGAGAACTTTGAAAGCATCCTTCTTGCTTT